TTGATCTTATATCCTGTCACGATGCTGAATATCTCAATTAGTTCCAGTAGATTTTTGACTGAGTCTCTTGGGTTTTCTAGGTATAAGATCGTATCATCTGCAAATAGGGATAGTTTGACTTCCTCCTTACCAATCTGGATGACTTTGATTTCCCTTGCTTGCCTTATGGCCCTGGCTAGGACTTCCAGTACAATGTTGAATAGAAGTGGTGACAGTGGGCATCCTTGTCTGGTTTCTGTTCTCAAGAGGAATGGTTTCAGTCTCTCTCCATATCTGCTGGGCTTTAGATTACACAGGAGGATTTTTTTTTAAAAATCACAGCTGACTAGTTTTCGTAATTAAAACAGCCGATATGCTAGAACACAGAATGGCTGAGCTAGAGGTGAGATAACAACAACAGAAGCATAAGGCACAAAGAGTGGAGAAGCTAAACGATGGAAGTAGTGAAGAAGAGCAGCCTTCACAAGGGAGTTGACTTCTGAGTTGGTTTTGTAAAATGAGCAGAAAGTTGTAGGAAGAAGGGTTAGAGGAAAAGAAAAAGTATTTTTAGCACAAGTACTGCAGGGAAAAATATATGTAAATGGGATCTAGGAGTACATGTAATTAATCGACTGCTTTCTACATATTGTTGGTTGTTGTTGCTATGTGCTGTCAGAGTACTAAGTCCTTTAATAAGGAACGCTGATGGTGCAGTGGTTAAGGGCTTGGATGCTAACTGCAAGGTCAGGGGTTTAAACATACCAGCTTCTCTGCGGAAGAAAGATGGTGCAGTCAGCTTCTGTAAAGATTTACAGCCTTGGAAATCCTATGGGGGCAGTTCTACTCTGTCCTATACACTTGCTGTGACTTGGAATCAACTTGATGGCAATAGGATTTTGGGTTTTTGTCAGGTGCTACTGAGTTGGTTCCTATTCACAGTGACACTACATACAACAGAAGGAAACACTGCCTGGTCCCACACTATCTTCACAAATCGTCACTATGCTTGAGCCCATTGTTGCATCCACTGTGTTAATACATCTCACTGAGGTCTTCTTTTTCACTGACCGTCTACTTTAACAAACACGATATCCTTCAGGGCCTAGTCCTTTCTGCTAATATAACCAAAGTACGAGAGATGAAGCCTGGCCATTCTCATTTCTAAGAAGCATTCTGGCTGTACTTCTTCCAAGACAGATTTGTTTGTTCTTTTGGCAGTCCCTGGTATATTCAATATTCTTCGCCAACACTATAATTGAAATGCATCAATTCTTCTGCAATCTTTCTTATTCATTTTCCAGACTTTGCATGCATATGAGGCAACTGAAAATATTATGGCTGGGGTCAGGCTCATCTTAGTCCTCAAAGGGACATATCTCCTCTTTAACACTTTAAAAGAAGTCTTTTGCATCAGATTTGCCCAATGCAACAAACACATAGTCTGATTTCTTGACTACTGCTTCCATGGGCATTGATTGTGGATCCAAGTAAAATAAAATCCTTGACAACTTCAATCTTTTCTTCATTTATCATGATGCTACTTACTGGTCCAATTATGAGGACTTTTGTTTTCTTTATGTTGAGTTGCAATCCATACTGAAGGCTGCAGTCTCTGATTTTCATCATTAAATGCTTCAGGCCATCTTCATTTTCAGAAAGTAAGGTTGTGTCATTGTGTCATCTGCATATCACAGGTTGCTAATGAGTCTTCCTCTAATTTTATGTGCATTATTCTTCTATAGTCCATCTTCTAAGACTATTTGCTTAGCATACAGATTAAGTAGGTATGGTGAAAGGACACAACTCTGATGCACACTTTTTTTTTTTTTTTTTT